GTTTCTGCGCACCGACACTTCGCTGCCGCCGTTCTACATCCTCGTGTACGTCGACGACTTGGTCTTTGCCACTGCTGACACTGAGGCTCTCGCCCTTGTGAAGTCGGAGTTGCAGAAGAGACACACGTGCACAGACCTGGGTGAGCTGCGCAGCTACCTTGGCCTGCAGATCACCCGGGACAGAGCACGCCGCACCATCACACTGACTCAGTCACACATGGTGCAGCAGGTCCTTCAGCGCTTCGGCTTCACCTGGTCCTCGGCACAGGCCACTCCTCTGGCTACAGGTCACTCGCTCTCAGCTCCACCTTCGGACGAGTCCGTAGAGCCGAGTGGTCCTTACCCAGAGCTAGTTGGCTGTCTCATGTACCTGATGACTTGCACTCGTCCTGACCTCGCGTACCCTCTTGGCCTTCTGGCTCGCTACGTGGCTCCTGGTCGGCACCAAAAGGTGCACATGGATGCTGCTAAGAGGGTACTGCGCTACTTGTGCAGTACATCAGGGATGGGACTCGTGCTTGGAGGGAGGAGCTCAGTTGTCCTCACTGGGCACTCAGACGCTTCTTGGGTTGACGACCAGGCTACTCAGCGGTCGTCACAGGGTTACACCTTCAGCCTTGGCTCTGGTTCAGTTTCTTGGCGTTCTACACGTTCGTCTTCAGTTCTCAGCTCCAGTTGTGAGGCTGAGATCTACGCCACAGCCATGGCTGCACAGGAGTTACGCTGGCTCACCTACCTGCTGACTGACTTGGGAGAGCGGCCTCGTTCTCCTCCAGTGCTGTACGTCGACAACAAGGCTACCATTGCCTTGTGTGAGGAGCACAGACTGGAGCACAGAACGAAGCACATCGCTCTGCGTTACTTCCTGGCTCGAGAGTTGCAGCAGCGTGGTCAGCTTCGTCTGCGTTACGTGGCCACTCGGGCCAACATTGCTGATATATTCACCAAGGCACTTCAGTCTGGTGATCATCAGCGTTTCTGCTCTATGCTAGGGCGTGTGCCCACTTTTCCTCACTTGCTGTAGGCTTTGCTTGTACTGTGATCTATATATGTATATATATATATACCTGCATGCTTGCTTTGCTAGGTAGAGATCACTGTGCTGTTTGTGTTGCATATATGCCTCTGCATGTGGACTGGCCTTGTGGCCCTTTGCTTGTGCTCAGAGTGTGTGGTGACGTTGTGATCCACCCTGAGCTTGCTTTGCCTTTCTTGACTGGTCTTGTGACCCCTTGCTCTCCCCCACTTTGCCTATGGGGGTGTGTCAAATGTTATATCTGCTACAGTTTGTTTAGGCTGTAGTGGGGTAGTTACTATGGGGTACAGTAAGTTTAGGGTTTCCTACTTGTACCCAACTCTTTCCTAGTGCAATCACTCTTGTTCATTCTGACAGGTTCTTGCTATTATTTCGGTGGGTTGATTGCTTTTGCTATTGGTGGGCTGGTATAAATCTTTGCATGTGTCTTTATCAAATGATGTCATTCTTGCTTTTATTATTGGAATTCTACTACTACGTATTGACGAGAGTAGAAACACAACGAAGTGCTGCCGAAACTCTGCTCGACCAGAACCCTCACTCTACAAGCTACGTTGAGCATAACTACTCACTTGTTTTCTACGCCCCTGACTATAAGGTGACATGCTGTCACACTCGGGGGGTTACAAGTGATGTTAAGTGTTGCCTAACTTACGCTCGTGAGCTGAGTTTAATCGCTTCCGCATAGTACTTAGACATAACATCGAGGAATGGCAACACGCGTAACCGTTTGTACGATTACACGCAGCAACTCGGTAACAAGAAGTGCAATAGTCAGAGTCACAGTAGAATTGCCTGTAAAGTAATTAGAATAAGGGAATGCACCCCTCAGAGTACATGGCTAGCTAGATCTATTTTTTATGTGTGTAATCTATGTTTTAATCAACTTTGTCATTTACATTCACTATGATCGGAGTTCCTACCACAAGACTTCCGCTACCAAACTCTCTAAAGCATTCCTATCCTATCCAAGATCCTTACTCTAACAGGATTCGACACCCCACCGGCATCAGGCCCTCAGATTCGTTTTTGGGTTGTCTGATTAGTCAGATTTACTACACATTTTTTGTCTGATCAATCAGACTTGGTAAACAAAAAAAAACTGATATTTCAGAGTTCAATCGTGTAAAAGTCTGATAACGAAAGTTCACATAAGTAAAGCCGATTGGTCTAAAACGGGGAGATAACCTCGCCGCAACGCTGCTGTCACTGTTTGAGCGTGACTGACACGACAAATTTGTATTTCCAGCGCTGATCGCGGCTCTCAGGTCAGAGTAGGTACTCGCTATGCTGCTCGTGGATCAGAGTACACTCCCGGAAAACACTGAAATTTCAGAGTTAGCCTTAAAAAAAAAAACTGAAACTTTCAGAGTTGAAGCCTAAAAGGTCTAAAACTGTCAGAGTACACTGAAAAAAAAAAAAAAAAAAAAAATCTGAAATATCATAGCGTTTTTGCCGAATCAGATAAAAAAGTCTGACTTCTGAGGGCCTGACACACATCAAGAGGATCGAGTTCATCGTCCGCTGGAAGGACCGCACGTCAACTGAAGATAGCTGGGTGTCCCTGGCCAACATTGAAAACCACCCTGCCTTGCAAGTGTTGAAATATATTTCTTATATAAACTGCTTGTAGCAGTAGTTAGTGTAGTGTTACATTGGTGGTGTACCTTGTTCCCTTGTCCCTTACATTATATCTTGTATCTTGCTCATTAGTGAATCACCTTTCTCCTTTGGCAACTCTCTCGACATTCTCCTTCAACCCTAAAACCTAAGCTCCTAAGCTACTATAGCCATGGCTCCTAAGCCTAACTTGCTTTAGCTATCTAACATGCTATCAGAGCTTCTACGCTCCTGACCTGTGGGCCCACCTGCTTCTGCTGCTGTACTGTCTGTCTCGCGCCCCGTGGCGCGCGACGTTTTTTTTTTCTTCTTCTTCTTCCCGCCACGCGCTCGAGACGCGTGGCGGTTTTCTGCCCGCCACGCGCTCGGGGCGCGTGGCGCTTTCCTGCCCGCCGCGCGCCCCGGGCGCTCGCGGCGGTTTCACGCTCCGTCGCGGCGCCTCCGGGGACCAGCGCGCCGCCCCCGTCGTTCGTCGCAGCGCCCCCGGGGACCAGCGCGCCACCCCCGTCGTCCGTCGCGGCGCCCCCCCAGTCGCCTGTCGCGGCGCCCCCGGGGATCCTGCAGCTCGCACACCTGCCACTGCAGTCGCGGGGCAGCTCCTACCCTGCTCCCCCGCCCCCCCCCCCCCCCCCCCTTCTCCTTCATCTCCCTGCTACGCGTGCAGCCGTGGGGGGGAGGGTATGGGGGTGGCGGGCAGCCGCGGAGCAGCTCCTACTCCGCCCCCTCGACTCCATCTCCATGCTGCGCGTGCAGACGTGGGGGGGGTATGGGGGTGGCGGGCGTGTGTGTTGAGCTGCCGCTCCTCCTCCTCTCTCTCCCACTGCTGCAGCTGCAGCTGAAGGGGGGGGAGGGTGTGGTGGAGACTTGGGAGTGGCGCTAGGGCAGATGGGTGTGACACGGGGGGGGTGGGACAATCTGAGGGGGGTGAGGGCGGGTGGCCGCCGTGAAGTTCTCGGCTCTAGTCGCCCGTGAGACCGTTGCGTCAGAGGCCCGTGGGTCAGTTGCTCTTGCCGGCGAGCGAGCCAGTTACTCCTGTTACCCGTTGCTCTGATCCCCAGAGGGTCAGCTGCTCTTGCCGGCGAACAGAGCCAGTTACGCCGTTTGCGACCAGTGCCAGCAGCTTCAACGGCCGCCCACCTCCTCTCCTCTCCAGTTTCCTCCTCCTCCTCCTCCTCCTCCTTCTGTTGCGCTTGGTGTATCCCTTTAGGGGGTGTCTCTGCATTAGCTTCCTGCTGCAAGCACTTTAGGGGATGTGTTGAAATATATTTCTTATATAAACTGCTTGTAGCAGTAGTTAGTGTAGTGTTACATTGGTGATGATGCACCTCATTCCCTTGTCCCTTACACTATATCTTGTATCTTGCTCATTAGTGAATCACCTTTCTCCTTTGGCAACTCTCTCGACATTCTCCTTCAGCCCTAAAACCTAAGCTCCCAGCTACTATAGCCATGGCTCCTAAGCCTAACTTGCTTAAGCTATTTAACTCCCAACCACTAGACCATTGGGATAAAAGGGCTTGTTAAGTAGCGGGTCAGTGCACCCATAACCCCCCAGGCCAACGTGCCTGTAACCCTTCCCTATGATCAATCAGGGATCACCAGTGGACCTCTGACACCCCCCCGCACTGGGATGCTCGAAGTGCATACACCGGGATTCGAACCCGAGACCTTCGCTCTGATACCATGTCAGAATCCCAGTCACTAGACCACTGGGATAAAAGGGCTTGTTAAGTAGCGGGTCAGTGCGCCCATAACCCCCCAGGACAACGAGCCTGTAACCCTTCCCTATGATCAATCGGGGATCACCAGTGGACCTCTGACATTAACAGCAAGTGTACCTGAGGAGCCGGGGTTTCCGCGATATACACGCACTCGCGTAGCGAAAGGGGCTTCTTGAGGGGGGGGTAGTGTAAGGAATTTTCTCTACATTCCTTACCGCGACCATCAACATCGCGTACAGTGGCAGCCGTTGTTCGCCCGTTACTGCTAACGGGGCTTCGCCAACTTCGCGCGCACTGTTTTGCCAAACCATGCACCGCTGGCCCGGCCGAGTCGGCCTACGCTTCGGGACTAGCTCGAACCTCGATGCCAGCCTAGCACTAGCTAGCTCGCACGCACCGCGTAACCGTTGCATGTTTTCGCACATAAGTATTCGCTCATGCCTTCACTCATACCTTGAAATTTTGACCCACATAGTGCAATCCTCGCTACCTCGTTCCATTGCACCCATAACATAACCCCTCATTTGCTCATTCTAGTGCAACCATAATATATATTATTGATATTGATACGGTAACAGCGGGCATGTTGAAAGGTCGCTATCAGTCGGCTACAGTTCCGCCAAATGCATACCAAGCTCAACTGCGTTACCTCCCTTCCCTTCCCATCTCACCGCACTTTTTTCACACGTTTTCTCTTGAAACCCCACCCAGCAGCCATGGGCAAGTCCAAGACGTCGGGCAAGGGGCGGCTCGACAAGTTCTACTATCTCGCCAAGGAGCAGGGCTACCGGTCGCGCGCGGCGTTCAAGCTCGTGCAGCTCAACCGCAAGTACCAGTTCCTCGAGAACTCGCGCTCGCTGCTCGACCTCTGCGCCGCGCCGGGAGGATGGCTGCAGGTGAGCCCGACGGCGAGAGTCGTGGGCAGGGGAATTGACCTGCTGCGGGAGTTATCTCGTCGGGCGACTCTCGCCTGCCGCTCGCCCACGTTCACCGTGTGCCCTCCTAAAACCCCGAACCTCGAACCCTCGTGTGCTGCGCCTGATTTCTCGCCTCGTTTGATTCGTCCGCGTCCAGCCGCTCGCCGATTGCGAAGTTTGGGGTATTGCAGGGCGCGCAGTAGTGAAGGGTGCTCAGTGAATGGCGCGCAGGCTGCGGCGCACTCCGCTGTGGTGATCAGCGTCTGTCGTGCGCGCGCGGCGGCAACAGTAGCGGCAAGGGCTTATCTGCCGCCATGCCGTTTATCGTCCGTTGGCCAGGGACTTGGACGGTGGTGGCGAGGGCAGACGAGACGAGACGAGACGAGACGAGACGAGCCGAGACGAGACGAGCCGAGACGAGACGAGACGAGACGAGACGAGACGAGACGAGACGAGACGATGCACCTGGGCTGGGCTGCGACTTGTCCATTGCCGTGCTCGCCTTCACCCCTTGCTCCCCCAACCCCCCTCCCCCTCTCTCCACTTCCCCGCATCTGACCTCCCCCATCTTCTGCGCCCATTCCTCCCCCCTTCCCCCGGTGCGTGTGCCCCACGCGCTGACAGGTGGCGGCGAAGTACATGCCGGCGGGCAGCGTGATCGTGGGCGTGGACCTCGTGCCCATCCGCGCCGTGCCGGGCTGCATCACGCTCACGCACGACATCACCACGCCCAAGTGCCGCGCCGACCTCAAAAAAGTCCTCAAGGTCAGTCAAGCGGCCCACGCCCCCACGCTCCACGGGTGAGGCGCTCGACGGGCTCTGGAGGGACATTCGAGGGGCAGTCGAGGCGCATTCGAAGGGCAGTCGAGGCGCATTCGAAGGGCAGTCGAGGGGCAGTCGAGGGGCAGTCGAGTCGAGGGGCAGTCGAGGGGCATGAGGGCGGATGGGGTGTAGTCTTTCGAGGCACTCTAGGCCAGCCTTCCACTTCCCTTTCGCACTTCCACCCTCTTCCCCCCTGGCTGCGCCCCTCCCTCTCGCCTTTCATCGTGCGTCCTCCGCCCTTCACTCCGGCAGACTGTCCCGCACGCCTCTTCACCCCCCTCCCATACGTCCTCCACCGCCCCCTCCCATACGTCCTCCACCGCCCCCTCCCATACGTCCTCCACCGCCCCCTCCTCGCTCGTCCCCCGGGCAGGGCGGGCTGCTGGACGTGGTGGTGCACGACGGGTCGCCCAACGTGGGGGGCGCGTGGCTCAGCGAGGCGCTGGGGCAGGCGGCGCTGTCGCTGCAGGCGCTGCGACTCGCCGTTGAGTTCCTCAAGCCGGGCGGCACCTTCATCTCCAAGGTACCTTCATCTCCAAGAACTCCTCTTGCCCACGTGATGCCCCTTAACACTTTGAGCTTCTTTACATCGCTCTTCCTCTCCACACCTCTCCACACCTCTCCACGCCTCTCCACGCCTCTCCACGCCTCTCCACGCCTCTCCATACCTGCACTGCAACCGCATCAACGCTTCTCTCCGTGTCCCTCTCCTGTCCCCTCCGTGCGTCCCTGCGCACCCCACCGCCCCACCACCCCACCGCCCCACGGCGCTGTGGCACCAGGTGTTCCGCTCGCAGGACTACAACGCGCTGCTCTTCGCCTTGAAGCAGGTGCGCCTCGCCTCCTCCCACTCTCGCCGCCCCTCAATCAACATCCTCTTCATCCCGCTCATTCGACACGCTTGCACCGCCCCATCCCTGCACCTCGCTACCCTTCCTGCTCCAAGCTCTTATTTGCTCCTAATCTGATCTGACAAGCTCCAAGCCAAACCTTCTTGATTCAACCCACCTCCCAATCTCACGTCGTCCCGGCCTGACCGTCCCTCCTCCCGTGCATGCTTGTCGTTGTTACAAGATAGAGTTCCAAATCCTAGAATGGCACATGTAGCTATTGGGTATGGTTTCATCCACCTATGGGGAAGAAACCCTCAAGCCAACTAATTGACCGTCAACGTACTGTCGTCTCTCCTCTCTACCTGCCCCTCCTCCCCTGCCTGTCCCTCGTGCCTGCGTGCCTGCTTGTCTTCCCCGTGTGTGCGGGCAGCTGTTCGGGCGAGTGGAGGCGACGAAGCCGGTGGCGTCGAGAGCGACGTCGGCGGAGATCTACGTGGTGTGCCACGCCTTCAAGGCGCCCGCCCGCATCGACCCGCGCCTCCTCGACGCCAAGTACCTCTTTGAGACCGTGCCCGAGCCGCCCAAGGTGAGCCGTGAGCCGCCCAAGGTGAGCCGCCCAAGGTGAGCCGCCCAAGGTGAGCCGGCCAAGGTGAGCCGCCCAAGGTGAGCCGGCCAAGGTGAGCCGGCCAAGGTGAGCCGCCCAAGGAGCACATGGCCACATGCAGCGCGGAAGGGTGGCTTGAGCGGGGTTGAAGAGGGTGAGTGATGAGTGAGAAGGTGGTGCGGGAGGTATGGCAATAAGGAAAGAGCAGAGGTCTGTTGGTTGGAGCACGTAACATGCAATGCGGCAGCAGCGCAATGAGCTCTGCCTGTCTTGACCATTGCGCATTGCGCTGCCTCCTCACACCTTCTTCCCTCTCTCCTTTCCATTGCCCTCTCTCCTTTCCATTGCCCTCTCTCCTTTCCATTGCCCTCTCTCCTTTCCATTGCCCTCTCTCCTTCCCTCCCACTGTCGCTCTGGTGGGCCCATTGTTGGGGCTGTGTTGGCATGGCGGGGCATGGCATGGCGGGGTGGGCAGGCGGTGGATGTGCTGGCGGAGCCCAAGAGCAAGAGAAGCAGAGAGGGGTGAGTGCCTGGCCGTGGCAGGGGGAGGGGTGAGGACTGGAGGGAAGGGAGAGTGGGGAGAAATGAGTGGAGGAATGAGGTGAACGGGGAGATGAGATGACGTGGGGGGGAGGAGGGAAGAAGTGGGGACAAGTGTTTGAGATGAGAGTAGGGACGGGTGGGAGTAGCACTTGAGGAGGGACAAGTGATGCCACCACACCCGTACACCATGCCACACCAGCCATGCCAACCATCGCGGCCTCTCTGCTGTCCCGCCTGCCTGCGCTCCAAGCAGCGCCGCACAAGCCTGCTGCACCACACGGCTCATCTCCGCCGCGCCTTCCTCCCGCGCACCCCTTGCACCCCCCCCTGACGTGCATGTATCAGGTACGAGGAGGGGCAGAGTGTGGTGCACAAGCGCGCGTCGCTGCCCGACTTCCTGACCACCGACAACGCCGTGGCGTTTCTGGGAACCTTCCACGAGATCACGTTTGACTTGCCATTCGCCCAGCCCGTCATCGATCACCCACTCACCACCCCTGAGGTGAGGCCAGGCACGGCCGACGTGAGGCGAGGCACGGCCATGTGACACCTGCTGCTGCTCTCGTTGCTCTTGTGGTAACTGGCACAGCAGTTGCTGTAACTTACTGCCATGCCATGCCCGCTCTTCCCCCCCCCCTCCTCGCGCCCACCCGCCATGGGTGGCAGATCCACGAGCTGTGCAAGGACCTGCGCATTCTGGGCAAGAGAGACTTCAAGCAGCTGCTCAAGTGAGTGCCGTGGAGCACCAAGTAGGTGCTGTTGTGTCACTATGTGCGTGCAACGTGAGCTCGCTGCTGCTCCAGTGAGGGTTGTGCTGGAATGAGTGTAGCAGGTGAGTGAGGGTTGTGCTGGAATGAGTGTAGCAGGTGAGTGAGGGTTGTGCTGGAATGAGTGTAGCAGGTGAGTGAGGGTTGTGCTGGAATGAGTGTAGCAGGTGAGTGAGCGTGCGTCACCTCTTTCTTTCCCCACCACTTACCTCCTCAACCCACCCACACAGTGCCGCATGCTTCATTGCCACTCAGTGTGCATCAACATCCCCCTGTCGCGTTGCTCCCATCAGCTGCCTGCGTTGACGGCCCTGACAGCCTTTCTCTCTCGCCCCTCGCCCTGTTCGCATTATCCAACCATGTGCTGCCAGGTGGCGCCTCAAGATTCGCAAGGACCTTCCAGAGCTGGTTCGACAGGACAAGCGGGGGGAAGGGGAGGTGGATGGCGCGGAGGAGGAAGGGGGGGAAGGGGATGAGGGCGGGGCGGCAGAGGAGGGGGAGGAGGGGGAGGAGGCACGGCGGGAGCGGGAGGAGGCGGTGGTGCTGGAGGAGCTGGCGGAGCTGAAGGACCTGCTGGGCGCCAAGTGGCGCCTCAAGCTCAAAGCGGACAAGCGCCGCCGCGAGAAGGTGGGGGGGCGCAGATGAGACGCGCGAGGAGGTGGGTGGATAAATGCCAGAGGGAGGTGAAAGTAGGAGCGAGGGGCGGGTGTGAGGGTGAGGGGCGGTGCCATTGCAGGCGTAGGTGGGAGAGCAGGTGGGTGAGTGGGTGGGCAGGAATGCGTGTGTGTGTGCGCGCGAGGAGCAGGGTTCACTGCGGTTGTGGAGGGCGCGCACCACGTGCTTGTGCACGCGGTGCTGTGATGGCTTGCCGTGGGAGGCGCTTGGAGTGTGCTGCGCTGAACAACGCATCACCCCACCCGCACCTTCCACAGCCCTCCCGCTCAACCTTCCCACGCCCGCCCTCCCATGTTCTCAAACTCTATGTTGCAAAATACGCGGCCAGCGTACGGTACGCGTTCGAACTATTCGCTACCGTACATTCGTGATACGCTGACTTCCAGCGTACAAAAAAACCCGAAATACAGAGTGTCGGGCATGCAAAAGATTCTTCGGGCAGGGATAAAACACTTCAGTGGAGGTAGAATCCTTAAGGGGTTTTTTTGTTTTTTTCGATAGATGCTCGCTGATGCGGATAATCTCCTGATGCGAAACGCGTTTTTGCGATAAGGAACTCTGAAATTTTCTAGGGATCGTTGGCCAGAATCGCCCTGAAATTTCGGCCGCGAAGATCCTGCGATGTGACGCTTAAGCCACAATTAGCAATAGCAGATGCGGCATTGGCGGTCGACATAGCTGTTTGAAGCTACATCGTAGAGTAAAATAGGTGTGAGACAATTGAGATACGAAAGGCTGTTGTACTCTCACCGACGTGAAAGCTGACAGCTGCTAGTGGTGGGTGGGAGGGAAAGGTTGGGTTTGGGAGGTGGTGTGCGGTGATGTGCAGTGGAAAAGGGGGGTGGGGGATCAATTCGAGTCTCGAATGTCAAATTTAGGTTTCACATAATCGCAGATCGCGAGAACGGCGGAACATAGTTTTGAGTTTTTTTTTTCGGGCTGCCCGACCTAACCGTATCGCGTATTATGGACGTATCACGTTTTTTCGTATATACGTTTCCGTACAAACGTGATACGCGTCGAAGCCTTAGCGTATACAGCAACATAGCTCAAACTCCCCCATCCCCACCCGTGGAGTGGCGCAGAGCAAGGTGCGCACGGCGACGGGCATGAAGGTGGATGCGCTGGGCGACACTGACATCGCCGCCGACGATGAGCTCTTCGCCCTCACCGCCATCAAGGTGCCTCGCAGCGCTCCTCTTGGCCCTCTTCACACGGCTGGCTGTCTTTCATCACTCGTTCATTTCTCTCATTCACTTGTGCTCACAGAATCTCCCCCTCATTTCTTGCCCCCTCTCTCCCTTCCGCCCCATCCACTGCTTCCAGTTTCCCTTTTTCTAACCCGTCTGTCCACGCCCAATCGCAGTTGCTCTAACATCACTCTTTTTTCCCGTCCTCCCTTGCCTCCCCTCTCCCTCCAACTGACCCCCTTTCATTCCCTCCCTCTGTCTCTCCCCGTCGCCATGGCCCCCATCTATTGCCGGCAGCGCAAGCAGCTGAGCGGCGTGGATGACACGGAGGCACCGGATGCAGAGGAGATGGCGGAGATGGAGAGAGAGGAGAGTGACGAGGAGGAGGAGGAGGAGGAGGAGGTGGGGGAGGGGAGTGAAGATGATGACAGCGATGCAGAGAAGAGGAGGTGAGGCATGATGGCATGTGAGGCATGGTGGCATGTGAGGCATGGTGGCATGTGAGGCATGGTGGCATGTGAGGCATGGTGGCATGTGAGGCATGGTGGCATGTGAGGCATGGTGGCATGTGAGGCATGGTGGCATGTGAGGCATGGTGGCATGTGAGGCATGGTGGCATGTGAGGCATGGTGGCATGTGAGGCATGGTGGCATGTGAGGCATGGTGGCATGGTGGCATGTGAGGCATGGTGGCATGTGAGGCATGGTGGCATGTGAGGCATGGTGGCATGTGAGGCATGGTGGCATGTGAGGCATGGTGGCATGTGAGGCATGGTGGCATGTGAGGCATGGTGGCATGTGAGGCATGGTGGCATGTGAGGCATGGTGGCATGTGAGGCATGGTGGCATGTGAGGCATGGTGGCATGTGAGGCATGGTGGCATGTGAGGCATGGTGGCATGTGAGGCATGGTGGCATGTGAGGCATGGTGGCATGTGAGGCATGGTGGCATGTGAGGCATGGTGGCATGTGAGGCATGGTGGCATGTGAGGCATGGTGGCATGTGAGGCATGGTGGCATGTGAGGCATGGTGGCATGTGAGGCATGGTGGCATGTGAGGCATGGTGGCATGTGAGGCATGGTGGCATGTGAGGCATGTTTGCATGTGAGGCATGATGGCATGTGAGGCATGGTGGCATGTGAGGCATGGTGGCATGTGAGGCATGGTGGCATGTGAGGCATGGTGGCATGTGAGGCATGGTGGCATGTGAGGCATGGTGGCATGTGAGGCATGGTGGCATGTGAGGCACTCCCATCTGCACGGCTTCTCCATGTCTCTCGCATTCCACCAGTCTCCCACCCTTCACGACTCAATTTGTAGCTGCTTCTCGACTCATTTTCTCTTGCCCCAACTTAACTTGCGACTCGTCTTTCGCGCTGCCCTCTGTCCGCGTGTGGCAGGTACGACGCGGAGCTGGAGGCGTACTTTGACACGGCGTACGAGCACTACTGCAAGGCCACCGCCAGCAGCAAGCGCCGCAAGGCCCGCGCTCGCCTCATGGCACTGGACGGCCAGGAGGAGGACGGCGAGGAGGTCGCCGGGGCGCAGGGGGGGGAAGAGGGGGGAGAGGAGGCGGCGCTGGTGCACATTGGGGAGGAGGGCGAGGAGGAGGAGAACCCGCTGGTGGTGCGGCTGGGTGAGAGCAGCGCCAGCGAGCGCGTGCAGGCGCAGTGGTTCACCCAGGACCTCTTCGAGGGGCTCGACCTGGCGGGGGAGGCGGTAGAGGAGGCGCATGACGGGACGAAGGCGAGCGGTGCAGGCGGTGGGGCGAAGAAAGGTGGTGCAGTGCCGCTCGCGGCTGGGAGGAAGGGAGGTGAAGGGCCTGCAAAAGGAGGGAAGGAGGAGAAGCAGCGAAGAGAGAAGAAAGTGAGGAAGGCTAGTGAAATGGTGGCGGAGAGGGAGGAGGGGGAAGAGGAGGGGGAAGTGGAGGGGGAGGAAGGGGAGGTGGCAGACGTTGATGACGGAGGAGTAACGGGCGTGGTCGGTGATGGGCGGGGCGGAGAGGCAGCAAGGAAGAGCAAAGCTGGCAAGGTGAAGGAATCTCAAACTGAGACGGCTGTGCTCCGTGGCACAGCGGCGGGAGGGGAGGACGACGGCGAGAAAGGCACGGGAAAGAGGGCGCGGGCGGGGAAGCAGGAGGAGGAGGAGGCGGGGTTCGAGGTGGTGCCGGAGGAGAGGCTGAGTGGCAGCGATGGGGACAGTTCTGATGATAGCTCTGACAGCGACAGTGACAGCCGTGGGGGGGCACATGGCGCGCACAGGGGGGGCAGGCATGCACGCGCGGGGGGTGGGGGCGCTGCAGGGGGGCATGGAGGGGGGGCGATGGGGGAGGAGGAGGAGGAGTGGGACAGTGACAGCAAGGCGGAGACGCTGGCGTATGCGAGGCGCATGCTGAGAAAGCGAGAGCGAGACGAGGTGGTGGACGACGCGTACAACCGGTACATGTTTGACGACGACGCCAAGGCGCTGCCCAAGTGGTTTGCGGACGACGAGCGGCGGCACATGGTGCCACTGAAGCCCATCAGCAAGGACGAGGTGCTCGAGCTCAAGGCGCAGTTCCGTGCCATCAACGCCCGCCCCACCAAGAAGGTAAGCAGCCAGTCAGTAGAGTGTTTTTTTCTCCACAATGCAGCAAGGAGAGGGCACCTGTCCCTGCCAACTTTTGCATGTGCCTGTCCCTCCATCTGACTCTCCTCTCCCCCTCTCCAGGTGGCGGAGGCGAAGGGCAGGAAGCGGCGGCGGCTGATGAAGCAGCTGGAGGCGGCGCGGCAGAAGGCAACGGCCATCTCGGAGCAGCCGGACCTGAACGAGCGGTCCAAGGGGCGCCTCATGCAGCGCGCCTACAGCAAGGTGGCGTCGGAGCGGTCGCCCAAGAAGATCGTGGTAGTGGCGAAGAAGGGGCAGCAGGGCAACCGCGGGCGCGGCGTGAAGAACAGCATCATGGTGGACCGGCGCATGAAGAAGGACCTGCGTGCTGACAAGGCTAATGCCAGAAAGGGCAAGGGCAGGAAGGGTAAGGGCCCTGCCGGCAAGGGGAGGGGACAACCGAAGGGGAAGGCAGGTGGCGGCAGAAAGCGGTGATACTAGTATGGATTTCGGAAAACACATTTTTTCAGGGTCCAAAACAATATAATTCTCTGTTGCCACCAGGATGCTGTCTTATATTTTGCGGGTACTGCTGCTAGGAAAGATTAAAGTTCACATTGAGATGCCTTTTGGGTTCGCCTTGTAAGCAGAAACGATTCCTGCTTCAGAATGTTCATCCTGTACATCTCCGCTCCACAACCACGGCCCTGGACTGTAAAGTGGTCACAATTGGCTAGCGAAGTTACGAACATGAACCACACGTGGCGTTCCATTATATGTGGCTTTCCAAAAAGGCTGGAACGCTCTTGCTCTGCTCTTTCAATCTCGTCCAGGCAAGTGCTGTAGTCATTACAGCATCGCTCGCTGATCATTCTTGTGCCAGTTGACTGGCTTTCTCAAAGTTATTCCCAGTTACATTGAATTGTAGCGAGTCATTGTTTTCGTCATGGCTGCTCTTAGCTCCGTTGCGCTTTGCAATGTCGTTCCTTCTTCGGGAAGCTGCGTGGCGCAGGCCTTCCCATCTGTGAAAGGCGTTTCGAGTCTCTCAGGTTCTTCTTTCGTTGGCGGAAATCTCAATCTAAAGGCCGTCAGCAAACTGCAGTCTTCAGCGTTCGTTTCTAAGCGGTCTAACAATGTCGTCGCCAAGGTTAGGATTTCACACGATTTGCGCATGCATGATGTAATCAGTCCTAGTCGCAGCTGCTAAGAAAGATGCTGTCGTTCTATGCATGAATTCAGGTTTCCGTTGGGAACGAGGCCCCGCCTCTGAGCCTGGCCGACCAGAATGGTCGCGTGTTCGACTTGGCCAAGCTTAAAGGGAAGAAGAGCGTGGTTCTTTATTTCTATCCCGCCGATGACACTCCTGGATGCACCAAGCAGGTGCATGTTCACGCTTCGTCAGCTCTTCTAACTCACTGTTGGGTAGCCCATTCCCACTATCTTTGTCTAACACATGTATTGATGCTGCAGGCATGCTCGTTCCGGGACTCCTTTGAGGAATTCCGCAAATTAGGTGCTGAAGTTGTAGGAATCAGCGGCGATTCCCCCGAGTCGCACAAGGTGCTTGCTGATAATATGGTGAATTGCTTCCAGGAGGATTGACATCCAGTGCCAATTACTAACGCTCTTCTCACGCTCTTCTTATCTTGCAGCTGTTCGCCGAGAAGTACAGCCTACCCTTCACTCTTTTGTCTGACGAGGGCAACGCTGTGCGCAAGGAGTGGGGCGTCCCCAGTGATTTGTTTGGGGTTCTTCCTGGGCGTCAAACCTATGTGATCGACAAGAAGGGCGTCGTGCAGGTAAGTCGCTGCAAACGAGTCATTATTTTCTTCGGCACTATTATCCGTTCTGACATTTGCATACCCGTTTGCTTACTGCAGCTCATTTTTAATAACCAGTTTCAACCAGAGAAGCACATCGACGAGACAATTGCGGTGTTGGAGGCCCAATACGAGGAGCCAAAACCGTTCTTCCAGTTTCCCAAGCTTTTCTGAAAAGATGATGTGGACATACCGGTACTAAAATAAAATCAAATATCCCTGTGTTGGCGTCAATCAATCTTGAAGTCATTATTGAAGTACAGCAGCATCATTTCTGGGTTGCATAGAAATGGTTTGAAGTCAAGTGAATTATTACTGGTAGGAGAGGACGACAGAGAACAAGACAGACTGGTGAGGTGACCTGCATGTACACTGGACTTGCTTTACACGAACAGGTGTAGCACAAGTGTACTGACCATATTTCAAAAGCAGATGTGGGACAGAATTAATTGCTAATGAAACAAACAATGGAGCCATAGAGCCATACAGTAGTTGTAGTATGTGCACGCACGTGCATTTATTTCCTTTATGGGTTTAAGAGGGACACATGGACATACATAATCAGGAAGGGAAGAGGGAAGGAGTGACATTCATATCATGTGAATCCATAAAAATCGTCCTGGCATAGAAAAGAGTAACATATCCTAGAGAGCAACAACTCCAGTCGGCACAGGAGAATCTTGTACCTCAACCTTCAGCTCCGGATACTGCCATGGACTAAACTCCTGCTTGGGAACATCCTCAACAGGAGTTTCGGAAGCAGCTGACTTCCTCTCATCATACAGTCCAGTGAACTCGTAAACTTCAAGATCTCCCCATGGTATGACAGCTGTCTCCCCAGACGAACGAAACCATTTGGGGACAAAAGCATCCTTTCGCTGTTCTCTCTCACGTTTCTCTGCACGTTGGTGCTCTTCCAGCCTGCAGATTAATTTAAACAGCACTTGCTGAGCCTTTGGACATAATCGATGCACGAATTCTGATGGCAGCAGATCTTCGCCAAAACTAACCTGTACTTCTCTGATGCTGACTGGTTAAGGTCCCCCTCTTCCAATGCTTTGCGATCAGGACGTAGGCGGGAATCAGATGGCAGCAGACTTGGAGGTGCAGTTTCGAAACTGTTAAGTTTTCTCGCAAAGTGAGTAAACTGGAACTTATCGTCCTCAGGCAAGTCGGTAAGTCGCCAAACCTGCAGTAACCCAGATAAAATACAAAAGAGTAAGCTTACGAACGCATATTCAACATGCACACAACCTGAAGACCATACCTCAGTCAGTGTGGATCCCTCCAATGGCTCTCCTTCATGATCGCATGGTTGGTAGCTCAATGACTCGTTCCACTTGCCAGTGATGAGCATCTTAGGTTCTTCGGAAGAATCATAGACGTATCCATCCACTTCGTAGCGCCCAGCCCTACGCATTGCAATGGAAGTTAACAGCAATGCGCAAGTCCTCAACAAGTGATGAAGCAAAAGAGCTGTTTTAGTTATCATTCGAAAGGACAACAACGCATCAGATCCCGGAACACTGATGCGGGCTACAAGATGCAATTTATCACAGAACCAGCCAAAACACACAGCGTGACTTATGTCCTGGGGTATGTAGAATACTCACCCAAACCAGCCGCACGGCTGAAAGTAAAGAACAACCTTTTCTCCCGTTGCAGTGTTTGTAAGCACCATATCACCAGGTGAATCCACCCACGTGCGGCCAAAAATGATATTCTGAACCTTAGTAGGTGGAGGAACCAAGTCAAACACATGACCGGACCTCTTTAACTTCACCCTCGTCCTGCAAGCAGCGCAATTAAGCAAGTTAGGATTTTGAGGTAGCTACCTGACATGTGGGTGACGATGACTTTTTATTGAATGCGTACCTTCCTAAAGGATAAACCTCCACTGAATTCCCAAGAAATTTTGTTTTGACCTTTGAGGTGCAGTCGTAGACGAAGTGCTCATTCTCCCCATGCCCGGCACAAATAGGCGGATGATGACTCACCTGCATGGAACTATGGGAAATGAGAAGCAGTTTTATCAACACGCCAACCCTTAAGAATGTAAAAACTACCTGCTCGTTTACAAAAGTGATGCCATTGTGGTTCGAGAATTCAAATGTCTCGCCGAGAATAGGGTTGAAGGGCTTCCATGTCCTTGAGAATGCCACATATGGAGAGACCGCCCACGCCGCTGCAAAAGCGCTCGATATCAGAACACACAAAACGGAACCAACGAAGAGATGAGATCTGACAAAGGCTCATACCTGTGTAGACCATCCTCATGTTGGGGTCGTCTGTGCTGTCCGCTTTGTTGAGTAGATCAGTGTACTCCATGAGCTGAAATACAAGAGCATCGCAGGTCAAACCACAGCGACGGCAGCTCGTACAATAAAGCTTCGACGGACACTCACCTCGCACATCTTTTGAAGCATTGTCATGGGCTCAAAAATAATGACAGGAAGCGTGACAAGTGAAGTGACGTCAGCGCCAATGTACTTCTGAGCTTGTTTGAAATAACCTTCTTTTTCCTGCACCAGTTAACAGCAGCGTCAGCAGCAAAGATTCTTTCTCCGAAGGCTGGCAGCACTGGTCATGAACCCCACCTGGTTGCTGAATCTTCCTTTGGCAGCTTCATCCAAGACATCTTCCTTCCCTCCTTCCGGATTTACGATTTCCAAATTCTCAGTCCCAAGCAACCTGTCGCATGCAAAGACGCTCATCATGCCAGTTGACAAAAACGGCCACTAAGGAAGGCAACGACACCCACTTCTGGAAACCTCTGGAGAGCATGCCGAGTAGAGTGCCATCCTGGCTCGGTTCCGCCATCGCGTCACGTACGCCTTAAAGATATTCGAGCAAAAACTGGTAACTTTGCAGTACAACAACAAACGATCTGACCGACACCTGATTTGAGTTGGGGAGGCGTGAGGATCTGAGCTTGCGAAGCGCAGCTTTCAGATTCTGGATCGTTGACAACGTGGAGTGGAGCCTTTTTTTCAGCTGGTGCCTTGCAATACTCGACACCAGCGACATCATTTCCGCGATCTGGAATGCCTGATGCTGGCTGTAGAAGGACAGCACTCCCCTTTGTGAGGCCGCGATACTGGTACACAAACTTACACTTCATACTGGTCCTAGTCTTTGCAATTGTGCAAGCCAACAGATGCTCATCTAGGTCCAAGAATGCAAATGTGAGTGAAGGCATAAGAGAACATTACAGGAAAAGTTGGTAGTTGTAATTCTTAGAACTAAGGGGCTTAGGAATGTTGGGCTGAGAAAAGCCCTTAGGATCTTTGCAGGACTAAACTCTGATTAGGAACAATGTAATAGCGGAAGCATTTGATGATAAGTCTGTGAACCACCTTGCGCTGGTATGTGAGGGCAAAGTAGATTGATTAAAACAAAGAGATACAAGCTTTTATAAGAGTACAAGGAATGCAAACAAATACAGTTAATGACTGTTTTACTATTGCTGTTGCGGTTCGATACAGTGACGACTCGAGCAACTGCTCAATAACGAGTCAGTTGTTTGTCCTTGCTGTCGCGCTGTATTTGTCAGGTCAAAGGTCGCTGACCTTTGACTTTCGCGTAACCTCCAGCAGTTGCTCAACCTCCGAAGGTTGACTCGCTGATGCTTCGCTGTGTTTCACTTCGTTTACGACTTAGTGTTTCGACGCGATAGAGGCACTTAAATCACTTGTTTCCAACACTCCCCTTCGCTTCTGGAGTGTCGCTGCTGGTGACGTGGCTCTGTCCAGTCAGTAGCATGCAGTACTCGAACTTCTGCTTTCCGAGCTTCTTGGTCAAGTAGTCAGCTGCTATCTCAGATGTGGGGCAGTAGGACAGTTCGAGTCTGCCCTTCTCAATCTCGTCTTTTACGAAGAAATATCGTAGGGCGATGTGCTTCGTCCTGTTCGCGAATCCATTTTTGTTCGCGATGCGGATTGTTGACTGGTTGTCGCAGAATAGGGAGAAGCTGGGTAACTGAGCCAACTTCGCTTCCTCCAGGAGTTCGCGAAGGTACAGTCCTTCCTTGGTGGCTGAGCAGAGTGCGATATATTCTGCTTCAGCTGAGGAGAGGGCGATTAACTCTTGCTTGCTCGACTGCCACGAGATAGGTCCGATAGGTTCGAAGCGATAGATGTAGCCGGTGCAAGAGCGTCTGTTGTCGGAGTCGCCGGCGTGATCGGCGTCGACGTAGCCGAATAACTTAGGTGTCGAGGTTCCGTTCTTGTGATAGGTCAGGCCAATCGTCGGAGTGCTAACGAGGTAGTAAAGAGCGCGGTTGAGCTCCGCCATGTATTCTGCTTCGGGCCTTTTGAGGTAGGTGGCGAGTTGACTTGCATAGTACGATAGATCCGGACGGCAAGTGACGGCCGCGAAGAGGAGGCATCCCAGCTTTCCTTGAGGCAAGCGTATGCTGGCGAGCTTGAGCGGAGCGGAGCCTTCCTTGTGATTTCCTGCGGTGTAGCGGTATGGCGTGGAGATGGTGATCGGGGTGAGTCCGAAGCGTTTGGCGATGGTGTCAGTATATTTTGTGGCGTTGAGGTAGATCGCGTCTTCTTCCTCTTGAATATTGAGGCCGAGATACTGCGTGACGGTGGACGAGACTGTGAGCGTGAGATCTTGCTGTAGCTCCCCTTCGAACCAGGTAGTGACGCCGTCGGTCGAGCCGATGTAGAGCAGGTCGTCTACGTAGACGATGAGTAGAATGTAGTCGTTGCCCTTTGTGAGTCGGTACATGCCCTGGTCGTGCGGTAGTTGGCAGAATCCGATGCGAATAAGTCTAGCGTGCAGGTACTGGTGCCACAGTCTCGGTGCTTGTTTGATGCCATACAGGGACTTCAGAAGCTGACAGACTTGGTTAGGTTCTCCGTTTGAGCCGTGCGGTAGTTCGACGAAGATCTCTGCGTCGACAGGTGCGTAAGAAAGGCGTTGGCGACGTCAATTTGCCGTAGCTTCTTCTTCTTCATGGCGGCGATTGCGAGGAGAATTTGTAGTGAAGTGTGTCGGCTGACCGACGCGAACGTTTCAGTGAAGTCGCGTCCGTGTTCTTGGTCGAAGCCACGTACGACCCAGCGCGCTTTGAACTTGTCAATGGTGCCATCTGCCTTTGTCTTCACACGGAAGACCCATTTCCCGGTGAGTATTGTCTTGTTTTGTGCCACGCTGATGGGAAC